CCGGCGTCCAGCACCTGGATGCTTCTACCTGCAAGAGACTCCTTATGGTATGTGAAGATGCGTGATTGAATCAGCAAAACTGCTTTACATCAGTGTTGTTATAGTTAGCTAAAAAATAAAACCATAAGATATTTTGCACAATTTAAAATATTAATAAAAGCTATAGTAGTATCTCAATTATATTTTTCAAAAAAATCAGATTTTAGAGGTTGACGTGTGGTCTGATGTTTCCGGTTGTTTTTCAGGATCTTTGTAAGGAACTCCATGTGCAAGATGTCAGTCATCTCATTTCTGCAGTGAAAGTTCAATGTAAACAACCCGAATCTGCCTTCAAGCTGGAGAAGGTGATATTTATCACAGTTCGGAATAGCATACTATTTTTTGGTATACTAATATACAAATAGAATATAAACCATTTCCCAAAACGTTCCATATACTATAAAATTTGCTGTATTATGTATCCTACAATATGCTCAATTTTTTCTGTCTTCAATGTAACAGATGAGCTACATGAAACAAATGAAGACTCGTTATTTGATCAGACTGATGAAAAATGACACAATAAATTGCGCTGCTTAAACTTGATGTATTGAGCTCATGATGTAATGACAATTCCTTTCAGAAAGTAGCCAATGCCTTTCTGACAATCACAATCTGATTTTCTCTGCAGATCCTACATGACATCACCACAGTCCTGACCAATCCCAGGGCTCCGTTGGGTTTGCTGAGGCAGCGTGCACAAACCAACCTAGAGCTCAGCAAGGAGGCGGAGTTTGAGCTGATTGTTCCCACCCTGGAGGTTTGGAGCCGACAACTAACCTCTCTAGCAGTGAGTCAAATCTTTGGGCAATGAATTTAACCAAAGGCATGGTCACATTTATCACTGTTCGGCAAATGTTTTATTCAGTAATTTCAACAGGAATCCACACGATTGGAGCTTTGCTTGAGATTTTGCTGATTTGTGTGTGAGAATTGCTTCATATCACTACACTATCGATAATAGAAAATTGACCTTTTTTGTGATAAAAATGTTGCTGAAATTTCCACATTTAGCATTGTTCGGTTATTTTTTGGTGGGCAAAATTTTGTAATTTCAGTAGGAATCTATTCAAGATTTCCCCTCACAGATTTTGCAACTGGTTCAAATTGGTT